CTGTTGGGCAATGCAAACAACCAACCTACCCAAACTCTGCCAAAAGATGCAGATTTCAGGAGGGAAAAACAAAGAGAGACGTCAGAAAAAATGGTGGCAGCCATTGCAGAAACGTTGACTTCAAATTCTCGCCTCGGAATACTAGGCTTCGTGGCTTCGCCTGGGCAATAGTTAAATAAAAGCGAGTCGCCTAATTTCGCTGCAAGCGGCGACCTAGCGATAAAATCATTGTTTGTAAACATCGTTTACTCAGCCATTTTGAATTCTCTGGTGGGTTACCGCTGTACACCCGTTCGCCGTTCACCGTTCCCCGTTCCACGTTCCCCGTTCCCCGTTACTAATTTTAGTAACATCCGGCACCGAGTCGGTTATTATAATTCGGCAAACCTAAATAGAATAATTGTTTTCATAAAAACGCTCGCAAAAAAATAGCTCTTGCTACCAACAAGGTTTTAGTTGGTTTGAAGACGACCGGAAAGCAATTAACTTTCGCTTGTCGAGAATTTTATCACAACATGTAAACAAACCATGTTACACATTTGTAGAATAAAAAACCGAATTTAGTGGCATTTTCAATGGCTATGGAGTTGGAATATTTATCAGTTTTGTTAATTCGTTAGTTGTAAGCTCTGAAGCAAACCCATGTTTTTCAGTCAATGATCCACGGCTCGCTCACAGGAATATTCACTTCGCCGGCGAATTCATTAACCATATATTTTGGAGCTAGCCTATGAGCTCGGAGCAAGATTAATAGCTCATAACATGGCCCCGTCAGCCCGGCAATCATGAAGGTTAATTCAATAACTGTGCCCTCGGTTTTTCTTCATTAGAGATGTTCGAGGCTCTTAAGCCCGCAACAAAATTGAACAGCATGTTCAAAAGTTGGTTTTCGTCACTCAAATTACTTCTAAAGTTTTTCATCAACTGCAAAATACAGTAATTCTTTGCAGTAAGCAGTAAATGGTTTGAACCCGGGGATAACATGTGAAGGTGTAGTCTGATCGTCCGGGTGAGTGTAGTCCTGAGAAGGACTGTTGTCGGTGGTAGTGACTGACGTTTCGACAACCTGTGCGGAAGTCATCATCAGAGTCAAGTGAATGATTGTTGTCAGTAGAATGTTCTTATTCCAGTTCGTGTGAAATGATCGGTTGGTTTTGCCGTGATGTTATTGGCTGTAAGACTCAAGTGACGTAAGTCGGTCGTGATTGGTCTGTTTCGATCTGTCGGTGAAGTTAGGTCGTTCTTTTTCGGTCGTTTGTGATGTTTATGTCGTGAATGAGTCGTTTGTATGGAGCGGGTAGTTGTTGACATCTGTTTAGGGGAGTCTGTTCTAAGTTAGTAAACCAGCTTTCCAGAGTCAGTCGTTGAAAATAGTCAGTGCTGTAGGTTAGGCATTGCGCAGAGTCCCAGTCAATGTTGTGGTTGGTAAGTCGATGGTGTTCAGCAATGTGATTGCTGACATCACCTTTCCTCGTCGCCCGTCTGTGTTCAGTCAGTCTTGTTGTGAGGTTTCTGCCAGTCTCACCGATGTAGGAGGCTTGGCAGTCGGAACAATTGATCTTATAAATCGTTCCCTGTCTGTTCCTCGGTTCGTCTTTGTCTTTAACGTTGGTTAGTAACTGACGTAGTGTGGTGATGGGTTTGTGGGCGACGCGGATATTGAAGGGTAGTAAGATGCGCGAGATGTTTTCAGACATGCCTTTTATGTACGGTATGGTTGCTGTAGTCGTAGGGGTTGCGGTGTCGTTTGTTTCGGTAGTGGTAGTGGGTCGGTGAGTGTTTCGTCGGATGAAGTCGTTGTTGTAGTTGTTCTTCGTAAAAACACGGTGAAGGTATTTGTTCTCGTCGGATAAGCTGTCTGTCGAGTC